GAGGCGCCCATGTACGTGCCGCTCCCCGCGACGGCGGGAGTCCCTGTACCCGCGCAGGCCTTGAAGGGCGCTGCGGTGACGGCGGCCACTTGGTGTTGGCTGCCAGAGGCGCTGCCGCCCCCAGCTTCCGCAGCGCCAGTATGGTGGCCTCAGCCGTCGCCTGCTGCCTCGGAGGCTCCGTCCGAGCTGCAGGTTCGTGGAGTTCCTGGTGCTGGACCCGTACCTGCTCGTGGTGTTCTCGTACCCGACCGTGCTGGTCATGCTGGTGTGCCGGAGCTGGTGGCTGCGGCTGCGGGCGGGGCCCGTGCCCGTGATCGTGCTCATGATGCTGCTGCTGAGCCACTGGCGGCTCGCAGGCCGGAGCCGCCGCCGCCGCCAACCGGACCTCCGCCGTTTTCGCCGAGGTTGATGTCATCGTCTTCGGCCCTGCTACGGCCTCCACGAGATCTGCCGCCGCCACCAGCAACAGACGTTCGTGCGGACCATCGTGGAGATTGCAGGTACGTGCTACCCGCTGCTGCTGCTGCCGCTGGAGCTCCTGGTGGTGTTGGCCACGCCTCTCGTGATCGCGCGCTCCGCCCTGTGACGCGTCTGCCTGCTGGTGCTTTCGGCGCTGGTGCTGCCGAAGCCAGTGGTCATGGGCTTCCGCTGGCCGGGCAGGGGCAGGCCACAGCCGCAGTCGTGGCTTTCGAGGCCCATTGCAAGGCGTCCACACGCCGTGCTGCGTGGGCCAGGCGTCGCCCGACCGCTGTGCGCCAGGCCGAGGCCGACAGCCTGGCCGTGCCCGCGCCACAGGCAGCGACCGAGCGAGAGGCAGCCGAGCGCGCCGCAGAGGCCCTCGACGAGGTGGTCCCCGTCCCTGCTGCTGCCTCGGCGCGGCATCCGGAGGCTGAGCGCGTGGCCGTGCCGGACACCCTGGGACAGCCCGTTGGCTCCCGCGCGGCACGCGATGACCAGAGGAGCCGGAGGATCGGTGACGCTGTCGCTGCTCAAGGCGGCATCGAAGCCGCCAGAGCCGCCATGGTTGCCGCATATGCGGCCATCGGCATCCATATGTAGTACCATAGAAGTGGAATCATGAATGCATGTCAGCGCTCAGGTATGATGTTCCGGCGTAGGCTCGGCACAGCCTCTGACGACGGCGCGTAGATAATCGTGTTCCTGTGTATCTCTATGCATCTCTTTGTCTGTCGCGAGGGTGCGAAGATGCCTCAGCCTGCACACTGTCCGCGTGGTAACTCCCGCTGTGGTGCCTCCACGCGGCCTTAATGTTATATCCAGCTTCATGCGAAGCAGTTACACTTATGCTGTTTATGTATGTGAGGTGAGGGACCATAGGAGGGAAAAAGATAGGATTCCCGCTAGTGCTGCTCTCTGTCAGCTGTACCGTCCTCCCTCTCTCCGCGTCCATCCGCCTCAGCCTTTCGATCACCCCCCGAGTCAGCCCGATTCTGCCATACACCGCCGCAGCGCTTTTTCCAGCAACGGTTCTCGTACGCCTGACCCAGGGGTGTGTAGCGATTTGCGCCAGTGCTCTCAGAGCAGCCAGAGCGTTTGCACCCGTGCGGCACACCTTTCTTAGCTGGGGCATGTCCGCTGCTGTTTCGTGCGCTTCGCGTGTGGCTTATAGGCATGTGTATACGGGGGGATGTTGGATCAGGATTCGGGGGGATGATGGGATGGTGGATTCTGCTCCGGCTGGTACCTGGGCCGTGCTGCCACGGCCCAGACGTGCCTAGGCGCCGACGCTTGGCCTTAGCAGTTGTTGCCGCCCCTCCATCCCGCGGTTAGCGCGAAGGTAATCGATTTTGCTTGCCTGCGCCGTCGTCGTTCGTCCGTGTCGCGAGGGTGCGAAGTTCCTTTCCACGCTCAGGTACGAGATGTCACGACATCACGAGAGCAAAGCAGTTCGGTCTGCGTCCCAGCCTTCGCTCAGCTCCGTGCTACGAGAGCAGGAGGAGTTCGGTCTGTGTCCCAGCCCTCTTTCTCCCTCTCACATACATCACATTCCTCCCTCCCCCTTCCCCCCTTCCCCTCAGCCGAGTGCCCTGGACGAGGCACAGCACGTCATATTTGTCGCCGCCTTTAGCGTTCGCCGTCCAGTCGCCTATTATGGGGGGTAGTACGGAGAGGTGTGATGTGGTTTGGGAGGGCCTGGACTCATTGCTTCGGTTCGACGCGTTCCGTCCGCTCTGTCGCGGGGGTCCCCTCGTACTGTACTGTACTTGTAGACTTGGTGCCCGTGCAGAGTTTGCGAGCCTCGCCGTTTCGCATAGCCACACGAGTTGACTGTGCTGACCGCCTCTGCTAGCCGCAGCGCCGCCATCAGCTGACAGGCCATACGCTTCATCAGCAGCGCAATCCAAAAAATCCTCCTCCCTCCTCCCTCCTCCCCTCCTCCCTCCTCCCTCCTCCCTCCTCCCTCCCTCCTCCTCCCTCTCCCTCCTCCCTCCTCCCTCCTCCCTCCTCCCTCCTCCCTCCTCCCTCCTCCCTCCTTCCTTCTCCCTCCTCCTGCTTCCCCCTGCTTCCCCCTCCCTGCTTCCCCCTCATCCCTCCCTCCTCCCTCCCTCCCTCCCCCCCTCCCTCTCGATCCTTGCCGGGTCGGGCAGGGCTGGGACGGGCAGGGTCGGGCTGGGCCGGGCCGGGCCTCCCTCTTCCCTCCCTCCCTCCCTCCCTCCCTCCCCCCCTCCCTCTCGATCCTTGCCGGGTCGGGCAGGGCTGGGACGGGCAGGGTCGGGCTGGGCCGGGCCGGGCCTCCCTCTTCCCTCCCTCCCACCCTCCCTCCCTCCCCACCTCCCTCTCGATCCTTGCCGGGTCGGGCAGGGCTGGGACGGGCCCGGGCCCGGGCCGGGTCGGACAGGGCCGGACTCTCTCTCTCTCTCTGCTTCCTCGTCCCCCGCCCAGTTTGAACATCCAGCTGTCCCCGCGATCTGCTTCCACACCTGCCCCCCAGAATGCCTCCGGCGTCCTCTTGCACTGAGGACTTCTGTCGGGCGGGATTGCCAAGACGGCCGCAGGGGAACGCTTGGGCATTCCTTCCCCCGCCCCCCCCGTCTCCACAGCCACCAGGCCCAAGGGAAGCGCTGCAATTCGAACTTCTTCACCGCTCCAGAGCGCACCTGCACCAGCGCCATGCAGCCAGTGGGGGAGCCAGCGCCCGTCCCTCACCTGCGAGTTCTCGACTACTGGATGCACCACCGAAGCGCCCTGCGCCTGACCCTGCGTGCGGCCGCAACTGCGGACGAGAAGCAGAACCCGACGGGGCCATGTTCCAAGACGTTGTTCAACCACGCGGTTAAGGAGCAATGGAAGCGCATGAGCCCGGACCAGCAGCAGCAGTGGATCGCTGCCGAGGCCTCGGGGGGACCGCCTCCGGGTCAAGTCGCAGTCCACACCGCCCTTGGGGCAGCTGTGAAGGGAGGCCCCACGAAGGCGCCGGAGCAGCCTGGCCCTGCAGCGGGCGCGAAGCCGACGGAGGGCATTGCATCCACTATGGACCACCACTGCGACGGTTGCGGGGCCGCGGGCGTTGCCCTTGCCCCCGGCCAGGGCGACCACACCGAGAAGTACTACTGCGGCGAGTGCTGGCAGCAGTGGCACCAGTGGCACTTGTGCGCCCAGGCGGCAGGCCCCCCAGTGGCGGCCGCTTCAGCTGGCGAGGACACGGGCGAGGCGCCGTGGAAGAAGCACCGCGCCCAGAACGCACCGACATTCCCCGACACCGAGGCCGCGCTCTCCACGCCAAAGCAGCAGCAGCAGCTGCAGCTGCAGCAGCAGCAGCTGCAGCAGCAGTGCCCGCAGCAGCAGCATCCCCCGCAGCAGCCGCAGGTTCCCCAGCTGTGCTGCTCAGGGTGCGTGTCGGGAGTGGGCCCGCTTGTGAGCGGAGAGGGGGAGCACGCGACGAAGGCCTACTGCCACCAGTGCTGGGAGGAGTGGCGTGCCCAGCAGACCGTGGCCGGCGCTGCGGGCCCCGCCCCAGGCGGCCCGGCTTCGGCCTGGACCCAGGGCCCAGCGGACCTTCACCAGGCCCCGGTGCCCCGGGCCGCCCCCGGGCTCTTCCCCGAGTTCTACCGGCGCGCCCTCCCGCCAGCTGGGGCGGCGGACGTCGGCCAGCAGGACAACAAGAGGTACGACCGCTGGCTGGTGCCCCTCCCAGGGGGCCAGCTCCCGACGGACCGGGACATCCTGTTCTGGGCCTACACGGGTGCCCTGGGAGCCCCTCCGTTCATGGGCCCGGACTCCGAGTGGTCCCACCTTCCGAAGGACGCGCTGAAGACGGGGAAGACGCCGACCGGCCTCCTGCTCCAGCTCGGCAAGAAGGCGGCGAAGTTGGGGAGCATCCACTTCTACATGACCAAAACGGGGAAGCTTCACCTCTCCGGCAGCGATACTGCAAAGGAGAGAATGATCACTCTCCTAGCAGGGTGGACGGTGCCTTGGAACAACGGGGTTTCACCGCCAGCCGCGGCCCCCGGGACCCTCCCGCCGAGGCCGCCCGCATCATGGACGGCACCGTGAGGCGCGGCGCCAGTGCCCCCCACTCTCTGCCTGTCGTCTCTCTCTCCCTCTCCCCCCCCGCCCCTCCTGTCTCGATGTGCTGCGATACCACGGGGTGAGATCGAGGATTTTGTATAAGGTTCGTGCTGGAGGCGCGGATCCCCTCACCACCCCCGCCTTCCTCTCTCCACCCCCGCCTCTCCCCCCCCTGCCCCGTGCGGACGCGAGGTCCAGCAGAGCAGTCCAGTGTTATTATGGCTTGAGCCGCAGGCGTGAAAAACCCCTCTCCCACTCCCCCTCCCCCTCCCTCCCTCCCTCCCTCTTGGTCCGCTTGGATTGAGCTGGGCCGGGTCGGGACGGGCCGGGCCGAGGCCCTGTGATCCCCGTCGCCCTCGCCGGATGCGGGCTGGAATCCGCAGAGCGCCCGGAGCGCGTCGTCGTCGTCGTCGTCGTCGTCGTCGTCGTCGTCGTCCCCCCCCCTCGTCCCAGGCCGCCCTGAGCGCGGCCAGAGGCGGCAGGTTTGGGGGGATGCCCGCCCGTTGGGTTCGAACCCGCTTGGAGGGCTGATCCGGCGATCAAGGCATGGCCGGTACGGGCTGGGCTGGGGCCCCCGTGATCCCCGCCGCCTTCGCTGGGCCGGTGCCTGTCGCCGCTGCTGTCCGCCGCCGCTGCCGTCGCCGCCGCTGCCGTCGTCGTCGTCGTCGTCGTCGTCGTCGTCGTCGTCGTCGTCGTCGTCGTCGTCGTCGTCTTCGTCGTCGTCGACGTCCTCCCCCCCCTGTCGCTTTGCCTTCCTCCCTCTCTCCCTCCCTCCCTCTCCCCTGCTTCTCTCCCTCCCTCTCTCCTCCCCCCCTCCCTCCCTCCCCTTCCCTCCCTCCCGTCCTTCCTCCTGGTCCACGCGGGACCAGGCCGGATTGGACCGGGCCGGGCCGGGCCGGGGCCCACTGCGATCGGCGTCGCTGTCACTGTTGACAACGGTCTTGGTGCCCTCTCCCCTCTTCCTCCCCCTCCTCGGCCCTCCCTCGCCGTATGGACCCCTCCTCCTGGGTGCGCGTGCGCGAAGATAGCAGCGCCTGTGCCTCGCGGCGCACTCCTGGGGGTGGCTCGGCCGTGCTTGCACTGTTTGGGCATGCTTTTGCTGGGCCTGGCCGACGTCCTCATCGCCCCGGCCCCCTTCCTTCCCTCAGCCAGCCGGGCCCAGGTCGCGCCCGCCGCGCCTCTCAGCCCAGAGGCAGGCCTCCTCCATGATGCGATGGACGTGCTCCTCGACGCCCTCCTGGATGCATTCCCGCATGCCCGCAGGTTTGGACTGAGTGGGGACCCAGTTGCAGACCCGCTCCTCCAGTTCCGCTGGAAGCAGCTGCGCGACGAAGCCAGCAGGCTCCTCGAGCAAGCCACCAGTCGGGACGCCTTGCAATCCTCGTCAGCCCATGGCGCCCTTCTCAGTGCGTTGCGGTGGGCTGCGCGGCACCTGCCAGGCCCTGGCAGGCAGATCGCGCTCTCCGGGAACTCCGGCATGGAGCCACGGTACGGCGTGAAGATAGCGGTCGGCTCCCCGAGTACTACTGGGTGCCTCTCCATTGACGGGTCGCGGATACTGTGGGGAGTATTCACGGACGCGCGGGCTGGCATTCTGCAGGCCATGAAGCAGCTGGACCTGGCCCTTGTTGGGCTCCCTGGTGCCCGACTTCCCGCCCGGACATCCGTCCCGGGACGCTCAGACTTGGGTCTTGCCTCGCGCGGGGGCCCCTCTTACGCGAGCACCGCGGTGGTGTGGGATCCTAATATCCTCCACCGAGTTGCAGAATTGGCCCTTGTCGGCTCGGACCGGCGCCTCTGGC